GAAGAAATAAATATAGAAGACGAAGAAGGTTGGAAATGGATATAGAAATGAAGAAGTGAGAATAAGATAATAAGAAAGAAATTAAATTGCCACCAACCACTGAGCAAGCTCAGCGGAAGAGGCGGAAGGGCAACCCCCGACACCATGGTCTTAAGTCTAGCTGCACTAACCGGATGACTACTCTTATATGACTACTTGAATTAATATGCTCGACCCGACCAAAGGAATAGGAAAAGTAAGACAAATACAATGGAAAGTGAGAGGGAACAAAGCGAAACGAGAGAAAAGAAATGAAGATAGAAATAGAAAAGTGAAGAAGTAGAAAAGTAAGAAATCGAGTTATAAAAGTGGAGAAGAAATGAGGAAAGAGATAAATAAGAAAGTGAAGAATGAAAGATGAAGAAATAAGGAATTAATGAAGAAATAAATATAGAAGAAGAGGAAGAAGAAGGTTGCAAATGAATATGAGGGGTATTTCCAAGAGACCAGTATAGGAGACCGGCTCGAGGAAGAATGAGCGCTCGGAGTCGGGCCCTGCCTCGAGCGCCCCCACCATCCGCTTGCTCCCACTCGCGGAGTCCTGAGCGAATAATTTGCGCGCACACAATTTTGGGCAATTTCCAGTACTTCTAATTATTCTTGGACAGGATTTCTGACTTCCGAATGTTAATATTTAACTTTATTGATTTAATAAATTATTTTAACATTCCGAACGCGTAGTTTATTAATATTTCAATTTGAGCGTAATTTATTTTCGACATTCTACAATTTCAATTCGGTATATTTAAATAAATTTCGAAAGTAAATGAAGATCCAATAATATTTAGTAACATTTGGAAAACTTTATTCCACGTTTCGAATTTTCAATAATTCTGTGCAACTGATTTTTCCCTTCTTCTTTTCACGGGTAATACAGCTATTCGCGAATGGCAAAAATTAAAAAACAATAAGAAAAATATTTTTCTGTCTTAATGAATACTTTGCAGTCATTGCATAATAGCAATGAAGCAATTAGAAAAACATAAGAAGCATATAAAAAGTATGTTTTCAGGTATTAAAAACATAAATTTTTATCTTTTAACGCTAAATTCCCGAAGATTACGAAAAGTACTGCAAATACATTTCCCAAGAGAGCAATTTACCAAGAACGAATATCATTGTAAGAGACAAACTTTCCTTGCTGCATCGTGCAATTTCCAGAATACAGCATCTACCGCAAGTAAACCAAGGGGTTCGTACGAAATTCGAAAACGATATTTTTACAAGAATAGAAGTTGAAAGTTCTTGTAAAATATGAAAAACCGTCTCAATTACTTGAATTCCACACCTGTTCAAATGACAGCTACTCCTACACGGCCACCATTGTCATTATTTACTGACGTGCACGCGTGGCGTACCAGTCGACCTTTATTTTCCGCTTTAAATATACATTTGCATCGATTGCGGTTTGTCGTGGTGGAATAGGCAGAACTAGAGAGTCATCATAGTAGGAAGGTTTGGAGTTCGGCTGAAGAGCAGTAGGGGTAACTTTGCCGAGTAGGGGGTTGCGGCTTGGGAGGCTGGACGAGAACACGTGGGTAATATTAGCACCAGCGATTAAACCAGTCCCCAAGCTGACACTAATATTGTGCATGTCATTGCCTTGCGGTCGGGCTGTGTTCTATGTTTATAATATGAGCATTAAGCACTTTTTTTTTATTCCGTTCATGCCGCAAATACCGTAGATGAGCCTACGTGAAACATGCATATGTACGTCTGCGCATCTATATGCATATTCTGAGTATACAGGGTGTGTCGCGACGCACCTTTATTCAAAAGATAATAAATTTTGTATAAAAAAAAATCCAATCTACGAAAACTCCATATTGAAAAAATATATAATACTTACTGTATACGGTGACGATTTCTGTGAAAATTCAAAAATTCAAATAACGAGCCCTCAAGCAATATTCTAATTTTCTCACCCTATACAGTGTACGGTATTTTATACGTGGGTGATGTGATTTATACGTCGCGAGTCGGTCCATTTAGAACGGGCGTACATTATCATAGGGGTAGGTATAATTTTCGTGCAATTTGGTTTTTGAAATTAAAAAAATTCTCCACGTCACACAAAGTCCATCCGAAGAGGATGGTGGGCGAACGAAGATGGCAAGAGTAGGTTTTTATAATTTTTCTCTTCCACTCTTCTATTTTTTTTGGTCATAATTTCATATATTCTTTTTTTTTTTTGCTTCACACGAATCGCACTATTACCAGAGGTGGTGGCGTGAAACGAGGAGTCCCTTCCACAATTCTCTGGATCTGTCGGTTCGGCTTAATCGTTTCCTATGCACTCGGCTGTGCCCATTGTCGGGCGGGCTCTATAATAATTTAATGCCAGATATAATAAGTTACTTGCTGTCTGGCAGTCAGCCAGCCATCCAGCCACCCTTCCAGTCAGCCAACCAGCCAGCCATCCCTGGTCCCTATTCATTCGCTCACTGAATACCTCTAACGCAGTTTCCCTCCAAGCGGATGGACTGTGTGAGCTAACACGTCACGATTCTCGATACCGTCGGCTTAAATGAGCCTTAAACGTTCTCCAATTGGCGTAATCTGACAAACGTCATCGGTGACAGAATATCAACCTGAAGATCATGGTCCAGCAGTCACCGGTGGAGACGAGCCATTGATCCTGGTGAAATCTGAAAAATTCAGAAAGGTCCTGAATAAATTAAAGTCACGAGGACCTGGCATAGTGATACATAAATGTTTCAGAGATCCTGTGGAATCTTGGATGCTGAGAAAAGTGGTCCAGAGCATCCACCAAATGTTTGGCTAATGTTGTTTGAAGTGAAAGGTAAAGAAGGGAATGAAAACTGGGGCGAGAGAAGATAAAAAAAAACAGCAAATAAATACTAGACAAACAATCCTTGAGTAAACTCGGGATTTGAATAGGGAGTGAGAGAAGATTTAAGAAAGAGATAAGAAAACGAAAAGATCCGAGAGAGAATCCGTGAGAGATGGAATTAAGAGTCTCCTCGAATTTCAGTAACTCCGCGTTCCGTTCCATTCCCTTTCGTTCCGTTCGGAGCACCGATTCTCCTCGTCTTATCCGACTTAGGATTATCGTCAGCTGGAAATACGAAATTTCTCCAGGACGTAAAACGGCTCCGATTCACCAGGATGCTGAGTACCGAGGGCAGCGAGGTCTCTTTGTATTCTGAATTCATCCAGGATGCCGAGAGGCGTCGCAAGTTAAATTTTAAGTGCGTCAATTTAAATTCAATAATTTTCGGGCACTTTCTGTCTCATTCGCCTCTGCTCTCTCCACTTTCCCATTAAGTCACTATCTCTCCCTCTCTCTCTCTGTCTTGTAGAGTCTACAGATTTTCATCATCCACCTTGGAAGACGAACCGTGGAGCGATCAAGAGGAACGACTGTAAGCGCGACGAAGAGGAACCTCTCTGAAGAAGATGTAGTTCCATCCTCAAGGATGATGGAGAAGGATAGTAGGGTATTCGTGGTCGGACAGGGGTTGCACGCTTCTGAACTGGTTTGGAGGACTGGTGCTCAGGGTGGCGGGTGAGTTGCGCAGCTGTTCTGCGAATTAGCATACTAAACTTTATCACCAACAGCTCGACAAAGACGTGCCAAGACGGGTGAACTAATTTCGAAGATAGAATAAAGTTCGGATCGCTCCTAGGGTCTCTCGACTGTCTTCAAAAGCTATAACTTAACCGAACTGATATTAGAAATATTATCATCATTCTCATTATCATTTTCAACATCTTCATTAGCTATTGTAGCTGTTGCTACAAGAGTAAGATTTTTTTTTTCTTCTTCTTTACGTTCACTAGTGGATATTGCAACACTGGGCAGCAGGTGGGTAAATCTTTTTCTTCTTAAGTTTCAATAATTTCACCTCTCTGTCTTGCTCTGTATCACGCATCAGAAGCGTCTTGGTAGAATCAGGCGAACCATGCCGATTGCTTTTCGAGAGATGAATATTAACGAGGGCCTGAGGATCTTCATTTCACTCATTCTTCTCCTCTTCGCTTCTGCCTGAATTTTCATTCGAAGACGCTAGACCCTGAGCCTCATAAACTTTTTGCTCCTCTTCTCCTTTTGTGGCACTCGTCGAATTTTCTGTTAAGAAAGATCGTAATAGATATATTAGATGTATGTACCCTGATGACGAATAGGGCAGCAGAAGGACGAGGGCACTTTTGCGCAACAAGTAAACAGCGATATCGATCCTAGCGAATTCAATATAGATACCTGGACAAATATACCCAGAAAAGCACAAGTGGTGCTCTGGTTTACGGGTACTTCTTTATTTTCCATTTTTTTATGCCCTCTTGCCTCGGTATCCCAACTCTTTACGTTCCCAAGTCCGATGTGGCATACGAGTGTAGGTGCCTAAGCTGCTTGAACACGTAAAGTAGACTTTATCGTTATATGAACCGACACAGAATAGTAAGTCTGTTGGCCTCAAAAAGCATCAACTATATTTGTATATAAATGTGGATACCAAATGGCGAATCTACTTACTCATACAAGCCGATACGAATTTTTTATCAGTGATCCTTGTCCGCTGGTCGCCCTCGTGCTGCTTCTTCTATCCTTAAAAATAATTGAAATATTGAGAATAAGAAAGCGAGCATAACCATGAAAAAGAAATCACTCAATCATATTGAATAAAAGAAGATCACGTATACTCGACCTAGTCCATACCTAAAAAGAGTTTAGGCAAAGTGTCCTAGTCCTAACCGTCTAAGATAGTAGATGATAGGTGGGTATACGTCATGTGGATGAGTATCAGGAATAGGTTCTAGAGAACATAAAAAGGATAGTAGAGTGCAGGGTGAAGGCTTTAGGATCGGTGAGACGGTAGCAATAGGTAAGTAGAGGTTAGACAGGTAGTAGGAAACAAAAGGAAGAAAAGAAGGAAGGAAGAAAGGAAGATAGGTACCAGGTATAGAAGGTAGATAGGGAAGCGAAGGTCTGTCCGCAACACGTCTCCGCTCTCAAGCAGCACTGCCGCCCGGAGGCATCGAAGTTTACTTACAACTCCACTACCAACTTCTCAATATTCATCCCAATTATACAGTGCAGTTACACCACGACCCCCATCTGCACACTAAGAGCAGTACAACTATGGGCATGTTATAAATTGCCAAGTTTCGTAAATTCGAAATAAGGTTCCCGTGTTCTTAAACATCATCAGACATAATAAAGCAGAATGTGTTGTTGCCGAGTAAGCGTGATATTGAATTTTTTAAGCTAAAAGATTTACTTACAAACTTTTAAATGAATTAGATTCAATTGGATAAACTTCTTCTCTGCCCTTACAAGAAGGTATGGATTTTTATCATCGGATTCCGCAAGTTCTGGCCCTCGAAAATATTTTCAGTTGGAAAATATATTAACGTGGCTACGGCTGTTACGCACAGTCGAATTTCCCGCGCATTTCACGCGCTCGCTGCTTTGCTCGAATGGGTCCACTTCCTTCTTCTGTCTCTGTCGTCCTTTTACTTTGCATCTGAAAATTTGTATTCAATTTCGGTACAACTGTTTTGTTTTACTCAGTTTCCCTGCATATATTACCTAGTGAGACGTGACTGGCTTCTTGAGTGAATCTTTATATTATCGGTGCGGCTTTACTCTGCATCCCTTAGAGGGTACCGGAAGCGCCTGCCAGGGCCAGCTATTACTTTTTTTTTTTTTTTTTTTTTTCTGTATAATAATGAGAAATTCACACGTCGCTCCTTTCATCTCTGATGCTCCCATCAGTCTTCGGAGATTCCAATCACTCGTTTCGATGTACAGGACCAATCAGGAGTATCACACTATCGGAAGTGAGTTCTGCCATTGAAATCAAATGGACAAGCTAACTTCAGTTAGCGTAATACTCCTGAATAACCCTGTATATGTATAGACAGGGTTACCTTAAATTCAATTGTTTGGTTAGATACTTGGCTCGTAGTTTGGCTGCTCTTGATTAAATTGGGTTATGTTTATGTTGGCCAAGGCTCGGCACGAGTTAGAATGCACTGCTTACCCTTAAAGATAATGTACCTTTAGGATCTAAGCCATTGATCTGCCAGACATCAGACATTGAGTTATTCCACGTCAACTTCAGCTACTTGAACTGTAACAACAAGATCAGAGGTTTAAAATTACTTGGATTCATTTCGATCAATTAATATGCATTGATTTGAGGTTATTCAATGGTTATCTACTTTTAGGTTACAGTCGAGCGAAATTATGCACTTCCGGTTTACATCGTCGAAATACCCGGAAATGTATTTCGTTCTCTTGGGAAGTAAGGTACATAACTCAAGTAGTCGAGGACCAAGCTAGTCAGGTTATACATTTTGGTGTATGCATTTATATCCGTTTGCGATAGCAAAATCGACTGTCGATCGAATATCGATGAGATGGGAAACGTTTAAGAAAATTTCTTATATTCATGTTCACGACTGGGCGTCCCTTGAGAAAACTGACGGCGTCCATTTTCTCAAAAGCATTCGTCCCTTTGTCAGGGAGTAAAGCGAGAGAGAACAAATGTATGAAAAAAAATGGAAAGAAGCCAACTGACAGTGTTCAGGAATCCAACGTAAAATTCCTAAAATTCGATACGTGAAATCTGCGATCTTCAACGATTTAGCACGGATACGAACCTTCGAAGGCTTTCGAAGTGTCGGTAATGGTCGATGCAGGAATCTGTGTTCAGAACCTCCCTTGCTACATACACTACTCTCAATGGTAAACAATTTAATCTCTTCATGATAGTTTCCTCCAGCATTGTCACTCCGTGATTCCTCTTTCTTCCATAGCTGTCGATTCTTTTAATTCTCTCTTTCGCTTATCAAGTATATTGCTGCTTTCAATGTATACAGATATAGAAATTTGCATCGATAGTTAAAAGAGAGAAAGACAGCAAGGAAGCCTGATCACTGTAATAAAAGAGAATGCTTCAGAAAGGAATTCTGCTCCCTGATGTCGCCGCATCGATTGCCAAGAGAGACGTCCGGGAACCTAGACTAGATTGTTACTCGAGATTTTCAAAGTTAGGTTACGTTAGGTTGAGTTAACAAAGTTTTCAGTAGTGCGTGGGATCACGTCACAAGCAAAGTTTTAGCAAGTTGCACTTCCACCTTATTTCCTATCGCGACGCTGATTCCTTTCTCTTTAAAATCTTTTATTCTCTTTGGTAAACAAGAGATAACCTTACCTCTTGTCATCATCTCCGTCCACTTATTTGGATAATTGCAACACGAATGATATTCACACACAGAGCCACAGTCACTGAGGGTATACATGTATACCTGATTTATACATATATTCATTTATATAGTATATAAGGGCTGGATAATAAGTCACTTACACGAATCCTGGACTCAGGAGGGTTGGCCGTACGCCAGTTCTATTCGCGCTTCGCTTGTTCCGATCCATTCTATGCCGTGCACGTCACACGCATGACGCTCTTAACTAAATTATGGATAAAGTAGTACGATTCCCGGTGTAAAACGGTGCCCTACCGCGAGACTAGATGGCACTCCTGAAATTCAATGACAAACTTCCAGCACAATGGCGATCAGGGATCTTTGAATATGTCCGCGAAAATTCAAAAGTACTGATCTGAAAAATGTTAATTTTAATCCACTGATTTTGTATCCCTGGCTCGCCTTTGGTCTGTACTTTTGATTTTTTCATTTCCTTTTTTTTTCGCGCTTACCAAACGAATTGTTGCTGATTCTCTTGCGCTATGCACAATGTGCCTATCGAGGTAGGGTTCGTATAAAGTTAGCAAACGTCCATTTGTAATTTAGACGGACGTGCGTAACACTGACGTAATTACCCTTTTCGGAAATGTCATTTGCCAGTGAGCAGTGGAATATGCACGTATATGATACATATCCGAATGCTGTTGAAGTATCCAGTGCGGGCCGGATAATTTTGTCATGCGCGAATTATTCAGGAATTAATAAACGAATTTCGGGTTATTAACCCCCCCCCCCTAAATAGTACATAAAACCAAATGAAAAACATAATTTGAGCGATCAACCGGAAGAATAAAGAATTAATTTTTATCCCTGGTTATGTATATACGAGACTTACTAAATGTGATAAAAAAATTTTTAAAGGGATCAAAGGATTTTTGTTCTAGTATATTTAAAAAAAATTTCTTTATGGTAATTCGTCTAACATCATAATAATAGTATTCCAATGCCTGCGAATTTCATGTATCTCGTTCCTATGTAAGGTGTTCTCCTTGAGACAAGCCAAAGAACATAGATCCATAATTAAAAAAAATGTTGTCCGTACATTATCTAAATGATGCAGTAAAAGAATGAAAAAAAAAAATTCTAAAATTTATCAATTAAAAAATCATTGTGGTAATGTTTGATCCGAAAGAAGTGTCTCGTAGAAATCTTATCCACTTTTACCGCCTGAAAGCTGAAATATCTCGAAACGTTATTGTTATTTTAACAAGAGTAGTATATCTGTATAGTACATTTTTGACTGCTTTAATTTCGTGTATCTCGTAAACTAGACGGTAAATAATTACAAAAATTTGCACGCACGATCGTTTAGCACCTCCCAAGAATATATACAAAAATTCAAATCAATATTTTGAAATTGTTCGAGTGATCGAACCACCTTAAATTTCATACGAATTAGCTTAATTTATGATTCACGTAGTCGAAGTTCCGCATCCATTGTTTTTTTTTGAAATTCCATTTCCTAACTAAACCTAAAAGAACCCGAGCAAGATAAAAAACTAAGGGCGTAATGTATAAAATAAAAAAGAGGCTAAACGCAAACGTAGGCGACATAGAGCAGCTATCTGTAATCAAGGAAAATTAGCGCGTACCGGAGACATTTAATTACAGACAACCTCCTCGCTAATAGCCAGCCCCAGCAACGCGATATTTCCGCAAAGGAAAATTCCACGTAGCGCGTCGCACCGCAGGTGCATTTTAGGAGCGTTTCTCCTTTAAGGATCCTTCATTAGGTACGACGATAATTCTCCTGCAAGGATGCCGAGGATCGATCGGTACGGCGCATCGCGACGCTTCCAACTCCTTTGACAATGAAAATACCTTCGTTATTAATTATTGAGCCTCAGAAAAATATCCCATTTTGAATTATTACCACGTACCTGGTATCACTGTAGCGGCTGTAACCAGTATATTATAAATGATCTTACAATATAGATATTTTTAACTTTTTCTTTTCCCTTTCCCGTAACTCCAATAACAAGACGAAAGCCCATTATGTTCGTCCGAGTACATTCGAGTTCAAAAATACAATGCCTTATCCCTTAAGAGTGTCTAAAGATTCCTTAACGCCGTAGCTAGTCAGTCCATGTCCAGCATCGCATTTGGTATGAAATCCTTGGCTCTGAGGAAGCTGTTAATTAACAGTCTCTCGAAGCTAATACGGAGCCAGAGACCATAAAGATAAGGGATGAAGTGCTCCGAGGGTCATTCGAGTTACGGTATATAGCTGAGGGAGGTTTCAGGAAGATGAGTGACGACGTGAGCGAGAGAGAGAGGGATAATCTTAAGAAAGAAGGCAAAGAGTAGGAGAGCAGCAAGAGAAAGACAGACGGACGGATTCGAGGAAGAAGGGGAATCCCCGATGGTTGAGGGTTGAGAAAATCTCTGCGGTTTGAAGAGAGACGACAGAGGGTGGAGAAGGAGCTACCCTCTTTCCCCAAACGTCTTCACGCTCATTCGCCGCCTCCTCGACGGGCCTTCGTTTCATCCCTTACAACCGTTTGCAACTCACTCCTCACTAGCTGTTAAAGCTCGTCATGCTTGTCGCTCTTGTTGTTGTTGTTGTTGTAGTTTGTTATCTCGAGCTGTTTCCTGGCAATTGTCCTTCCCCCTGGTACAGTCTGGTTCCTCCTGCCCCTCAGCCGTGCCTTTTCCTACTTGTCTACCTCAGTCACTCCCCACCGTCTTCTCAATCTACCCTGGTCCTCTGCAGCCCCATCTCCACGTCGCAGCAACCACCTGGACTTGTTATCTGGCGAATAATTCAATAACTGGCATGAAGTTTCTAAAAGGGAATTTCACGGTTTAAAGAGGGGAAACAATAGGCAGCACAGCGGGTGGCGTTTCGCCTAGCAGACGGAGAGGATGAGGATGACTTCTATGCCTGGTGTCGTTTTCATGAAATACACAGGGACTGCCGAAACTGTCTCCCATCCACCTTGTGTACCAGTGGCACGGGCATCGCCGACGAGGATCTCCAAGAGTCCTTCAGTCCTCAGAAACATCCAGGATCGACCTAACGGATATTATCAAAACTGCCGGTTCCTGGATCCTGGACCCAGTGGAAGAATTTTCAGCATCCACTCTGAGAACCACTGGACCCACCCCGCGTGGCAATACTTTAGAAAGTAAGGAGACACAAATTGGAGATTAGTAAGGTAAAATTAATAGGATGCGGCCTGACAGGAGAGCACTGCCATCCACCTGGGGTCCAGAGGATTCACCAGGCAGTGTCGGCTACTCGGCTCTGGCAGGTCGACCTGAGACCAGGACTTCTTTTTGCATACCAATACGTATACCTTGTATCCCTTTTAAACTTCCTTCTGAATTTTACAATAGCCGTTTATAGAGGCGTACACACCAGTCACCCTAGAACCAGGAGTATACAATATTAATATATAAATGCTAAGCAATAACATCCAGCTTATCTGTAGTATTACTGTACTTACGTAGCTCATAAATATACCGGATAAACAATCCTAATCAATGAGTATCCTGATAATAAGGAGGCTCCGAATTATATTACTCGTTATTGGGCTAGGCTGGTATTATATGAAGTCATAATACGCAAGGCGTAATATCACAGGAAGCTCGAGGACGGAACAGAAGTGGAGAGATGATGGGTCTGAAGAGACGCCGAAGGGAAGAGACTCAACGATGGCATCGCGGGAAGCTATTCTGATTAACGAGGGTCATTCAGAAAGTAATGCTCACCGGCCCATTGTGCCACCATCAATGACCCCTTCTCGATCATCTTCTTTCACCTCTTGAAAATCCTTTTACGCTCGATAGGTACGACTGTGCATTCAGTCTGTGGATTCATATCTCTGTCCTTGTTTATCTTCATATATATGTATATATATATATATATATCTCTTTCTCTCTCTTTTTCGCTCTTTTATACCGTCTAATTTCATTCTCTGACTATCTTTCTTCTGTACTCACTCACTTACTCATTCTTTTGTGTAGTGCATATATATATATATATATATATATATATATATATATATATGTTTCTCTCTTTCTCTCTTCCTCATCCACAGCATCCAATAGTCGGACTGCAGGACCGCCCACGACGCAAGACCTCCACGCCGATAAATCCTCATTGTCCTTAAATCTACGGCAGGACGCGAACTCCCGAACTTCCTTGTCTTTTTCCTCTAGACTTCAAAATCCTCTTCGTCGACCTTTATCCAAATACAGATACTGCTGTTACCTGGTAACTGTCAGTATCAATACGGGAACCAGTACCGTGTGATTACGGTAGTATAGAAATTGGATTGATCTAGAAAGAAATGTGTTAAGCGTAATAAAGGTATTGTACGTACCATGTTCTATGCACTTAATATCAGGTACAAGGTCAGTCAGAATTTTTCAAAGAAATTTCGGCTAGTGCAATAGGCCTGAATAAGCCTGTGTATAAATAAATATATATATATATATATATGTGAAACGGTACCTTGATGTAAAATAAAAATAAAATAAAAACTATGAACTGCACAACTCCAGCTCGATGCGCCGATGAGAAATAAAAATAAATATTTGCCGTGTGACGGGCCAATTCTCCTCGGCCTGTTTGCATTGACCCTGCAGGCGAAATTCGAGAAAACCCGGAAAATATTAGTTTTCATGAGAATATTTCAGCTGCGTAGAATTTCTGACTGTTGGTCGCTATTGAAAATCTCTGCTTGAGCGACTTGTCCCTTTTTTTTTCAAGAGATGGATAATACCTGCAACAATGATTTCGATTACTGTATCATAATTAGAAAATGTTTATATAATTAACGATATGCATACAATATCCCATATTTATTGGCATAAAGAGAAAAATATATTTAACGTTACGTATACAGGATAATATTGTTTATACATTTCGTCCATAATGAATATATATTTTGTAGCAATTTTTATATTGGGTTTTGGTAAATATACATTTAACGTAGAAATAAGTAAACTATTTTTCTTTTGTGAAAGAAATATTTGCAAATACTATCTGCATCTGGAGGGATGCTGGTAATTTTTTTTTTCCAGATTGGTTCTGTTCCCACTTAAATCAATATTTGAAATGCCAAGCACGAGCTGTCGTTTGACAAGGGGGAGACACTTAGGTATAATTCGTGAGTCAATGAATAATCGGATGGTTTTCATGTAAAGTCGACGCATGTATTCACATATGTATATCGGATGCTGCGTGCACGTAAATTCTGGGCTTTAATCCTCGACTTTTTCTCTCCTATATATTTAACTATATGTAGATGCATGCGCAGCATCAATAATGCACAATACATTGCGGTCAGATTCCAACGTCACTCAAATGTCACCTACTCGTCTCCACCTGTCACTCGATTATTCATAGGACACGAGATAGCGTGGATTATACGTGGATCGGGATCATTCAAATTTTCCTAATAAATCCAGGTCGTTGTGCAGGACTATTATTTTATTTATTATTCCTTTTACTTGTATAACTACCGATCGGACTGGGTAGTTAAATCGAATATTGCGAACAGCCGAGATCATGAAACGAGGAAAATAGATTTGATATTTGACGTAAATTGTTGTCGGAAATGCAATTTTTATCGATTCAGTTATCTCTATAGATGGATACTGAAAATAATAGTGACCGTGTAGCTGTGTCCCACTTGTTGCGCCTCCATAGCAACTTGCGGCCAATTCGAGATTATCTTACTTTTTGAAGAGGTCCACAGCATAAATGAAAGCAGGTAGAAAAATTTACTCGAATATATGAATAAAATATCGGGATAAGACACCGCCGTGTTAAATAACAAATTTCGGAGTTTGAATCAAAAACAAAATTACTGTCGTTTAAAAAACAATTCCATTTCATGGGCGTGCCGAGGACAGCAGTTTAACGACATTAATCGTGACATCACGGGCACACGATATCGGTATTGGTAAATTGCAGTGAGGAATAGTTGAGATGCACTAGAATGTATTGACGAATTGAGACTATTGAGTTGTATCGGATTCATAGGTACGTATATCGTTCATCGGGACGCGTCTGGCCGCAAACGAGAACAAGAACTTAAGGACTGGGAAGGTAGAAGCATCATAAATAATTATCCATGAAGGAAAAGCCCGATGCCGTAGTTTGAAAGACTCGTGAAAACTTTATAATCGAACCTGGTCAGGTGTGGTTGTGTATCGAGTAACTATTCAAGAGCAGCAAAACGATCCCGGAACTGGGTTAGCGAATTCCGGTTTAACGTCTCGCTCGATTTGATGGGTTTCCGTCTCCGCACTCTGCACCAGAAAATCGCTTTCCATTTGCAAAATCTGAAGCACGTCCCGCCGTTTCCTTCAGCGAAATCATTGAGTCCCGAACGAGCTCGCGTAGACGTGTATATGTACCCAGTTATCTTCCTGAGAAAGTAAGACTTGAGTTAGGTCAGGGTTAGGTTGTCTTGAAATTAATTGAAAACAAAAAATCCCAGTCAACATATCCTACCTGGATTTTCTAAATACGTAAAAGAAAAAATTTACCTTAGACAGTTTTTAATCTGACAGGATTTTTCTTCTCGTTTCTGACGTGTGCAGTCTCTATTCCACCGTAAACGCAAAGCAGATGTATAAAAGAGGAGATGGACTATGAACCAATGAAGAGGATCTAGAAGAGAGCATAGCAAAAGGAAGTAGAAAAGGAATAAAGCGGACCGTGGACGAAACGGCTTACGTGTACTTTCATTGGAAGTAAACAAAGTCCAGGGGCATTACTTTACGAGCTCGGAAGGACGTGATCCATTTCGTCGTTAATGTGACGTGCGAAGTGTCTCTATAAAAGCGCCCACTTTTCTTTCTTCCCTTCTTCCTCTGCGTACCACCGTTCCCGTCTTTCTTTCACGTCTTGTCCACCTCTTCTCACTCAAGCTGATCTTGTTGCACACCTATTACTTCCTTCTAGTAGAGGAGACTACGATTTCGGCAAATTGGAAGGAATTTACGACGTTCTCCTGTCATCGAGTGCGGGCAGCCATACGGACTAAATCGGACACGGAAAAAATCTTACCGAATCTTTGGACAAGATAGGAAACTCACGTACAAAATTGTTAATTATTATTATAGAAAGACAAGTACATCTGATCGCGTATCGGTTAAAAAATAAAGCATCGATATACCGTAGTTCCTATTACGTTGTGTTATGTAAGAAAATATACGAATACTGCATACTGTGTGTATAGCGACGAGATGGAGAACTACGTTCAGTTTTATTTCGACCACGGCGCCACAAGAGCGCGCCACTGTCCTCGCGAGTCTTTTGCCATCGGGCGAATGGAAAAATGCGATTCCTTCGAACCCGGGAGCTTTTCTTCAGGGGTTATAAATCACGTGAGGTGGGAGAGAAAGTCCCCGCGCCCTCGCGAAGCTTTTTCCCAAGCTCGATAGCGAGAACTGGTAACGCAGCTACTATACCTAGGTATACTAACGTCCTTCTATATCATTTTCTCTTCCCTCTTTTCCTTCTTTCCTCTTTCTCTTTATCATTCTCTTACTCTATCTCCGTACCACTTCCACTAATTTTCTTCCAACGCAGCAGACTCACACTCACTTTTTCAGGACTCCAACTGGCTTCCTAACCTCAACCTGTCACGATCTACCCATGCACGAGAGGCACTAGCACGTCCTGTCACACGTATGTAGTCCCAACCTAATGTGGGACTCATTCGCTATGTATATGAATGCTCTTGGCACTCAAATGGAAAAGGGTTCTCGCATCGTGAATATGAATTCATTTAAAGGCTTTACACTATATCCAGCCCACTTTAACCTCAACGGTAGGATAATCATTTTGTGCCAGAGGGTTTAACGTATATACAAGGGACGATGCCTGATGATATTGACTTTTCATTTTGTTTAAGAGTGTCAGAACGAAAGCACATCACTTTCCAAGCGGCGAATGTTTCTTCCTCGGCGGAAATTTAGCGGATATGAGACTTATCGTTCCTCGCCTGACTTCCCGTCGAAGGACTGAGGAGTTCAGACATCTTGCCTTACAGTTGTTCTGCCTGATATTCTTGTCAGGCATGTAGAAAAATAAATCCGTGTTGTCAGCGTGAAAGCGAGATCATTTTAATTTTTTTGTTATTTCTGTGATATTGCAGGAAAAAACGAAGAGAAACACACGTACGATGTCCAATGCCATTACCGAATATTGTGGACACTAGTAGAACATACTGAAGAAAAAAAAAAACAACAGGAAGGAAAACAAACTGAAACCATAATGGCAATTTTGACTCGCCGCAGGCACTGAATTGCGTTGTCGATGCGAGTGACTGTTTTTAACGTGTTGCTGAAATGGTTTTACTGTTTAATACTCGCGTCCAAAATTGTCACTCTATCGACTGGAAATTGCCAAATTTAGCGTTACGACTTTTCCGGACGCGTATAGTATACTAAGCGTCGTATATAGACATGTGTAGCACCTACCTGCGCCTCGTGGAAATTCTCCGACAGTTATCAAAGGGAATCTGGGAATGGCCGGGTACAGGGCATAGGTACGACGTCAAATGGCGTTGGCGATGCAGCATATTTTATTAGAAACAAATATTCATGTCACATACGAGGCACCGGCTGGTGCCAAGTGTTTGACTGTTAGCCTTGCGCCGGCGGTGCACGTGCGTGAGAGCGAACCTGGCATATTCTCTCGCTTCTATGTCGCCTAAGAAGTATAAAACGATATTGAACAGATTTTCCAAGGTTCAACCTCTTCTACCTTCGCTACCCAGTCAGGCAGCTACCAGGTGGGCTATACCCAGTCTGGCTACGTAGGCTACATGGTCCTGTAGGCTACATGGTCCTGTAGGCTACATGGTTCTGCTGGTGCTAGACGAAGGCAAATTTTTAAATGGATTCCTCGCACTTGTCCTCCTGCACCCTTTTATTTTTCAGTTTAAAGATTTTTCCAGGTTCCACGAAATTTTCATTCTTTTCCTATGGTACTGAAGAGAGAACAAAAAATAAGAACGGCAGAGAATTCGACATATCGGAATATTACACATTCGATTCAAATTGATACTGCCGAGCCCTGTGGCTTCTTGGTATTGGAAGTGGATTCGGAGGATCTGACGGGGGATGATTCCGATGCTTCGCATTTCACGTAACCATTATATTACAGCTACCGTCGGGTAATAATACCGCGGAATTACTGGGATCTCAAGTTCTCGAAAGAAAGGAAATAAAATCAGCATAAAGCGAGCCACCAAATGGCGCCACCGGTCCTTAATGAAAGTACCAGTGCGGGAACGAAAGCACGGCCCTTAAATTAATTCGCGATGAATTACGTCTGCACCAGCTGTTCGAGCAGTTGTGTTTATTTATGAAGGAACTAAGATCCTGGCCAGACTCTTTAAAGGGTATAAGGATGACCGTCCCAGGATCGGCCTCCAAGAATTATTCTCGCGTTAGAAAAAGATTCCAGCCATATACTTCTTACGGTTGGTAATTGTATACATGTGTGTATATATATATATATATAAATTCCATCTCGAGATTTAAATTACGTTTAGCGTACCTAACCACGAAAATTGCTTATCCTCCAGGTGGCCACTTTACGGAGGCTTCTTATTTAAAATATTTATAACATCACTGGGTGTTCCTTATTGTTACTTATTGCACGGAAGGATCAAAGAAAAATCATCTCAGATTCGAATTGCCCAACGCGAACGAGGACTGGTATCCTTTTTGCAGCAAAGTTATTTCATATTATCCTTGAGAGGGACAATTGCGCTGTTATCTTTTCACGAGGTCATTGGCACAGGATGAGCGGCGGGAGTGAAACAATACTAAAAGGATTTTCTCAATGTCGGAGACGCTTGTAGTTTTCCGCTATGATATCCTTGAAAAGGTGCTAGTAGAATTCTCACGAGGATATTGTCAGCGGAGGATAACTCCCAGGACGGGAAAAGACCTTTAAACTCTCACTTTCGAAACGGATTATACTCTCGAAGGATTCACCCTTGGTTTGGCTCTACCCTTTTCTTCCTTACGCTTTTTACAATATTCCAGGCACGCGTATAAGAAAATTATTCACAGATTGATATTGCCTGCCTACAGGATTTAGTTGGTAACAGTCTTTTAGTACAGTGGCTAATCCACTTCAATTGATTCACTAAGGTATAATTAATTTTTCTACAATCAAGCCCTTGCCTCCAGAATTGATGAGCTATTGGAATACTTTTTTTGTCTCTCATTAAATTGCCTTACTTGTACGGGGGCTCTCCTATACCTTTCTGTAATTGCCTTTTTAATACTTTTTATTACTAATTATATTCACTCTTGATGTATATTTATACTATAGATTGTAATGCATTTTCCTTACTCGACACCCATAAAGAAAATCCAAGAACAATCCGCAAGCCAGGCGGGCGTCACCAAATTCTCATATCACCGGATTCTGACGAACCCGGTATGACCTGGGAGTAGTTGATTTATTTTTGGCAGTTGACCTCGATTACCTCTCGGTATGGGTAGCTGTGATTCTCTTTAATTTATCGCAAAAGGCATTGTTGAGACATACGATAGTAAATATATAATTTTTCGTGGAAAAATAAATAGTCCCACCATCATGAACATTATACACATTTTTATTACAACTAGAAATGGTAAGCCACTCAGGGAAGACGATACATCGCCACCGAAGACAAACAATATCTGACCGTAGGTCCCAAAAATTAGAATTCTCGTGATTCGCCGCCAGACGGCGACACTTGCTACTGCCGTTAGACGGCGACGAATCACAAGCGAGAGAGAGAGAGAAAGAGAAATAAAAATAAATATTCACACTGGTGTTCTTCGTCCTTTGCCATTTTACATCCCTCTTAATTCATTCGCAACCCTCTGCCACATACCCTGGGCAGACGAGTGCAAAATATCGATATGAAAACCCTGTGCCAATTCATTATCGCCATCTGGCGGATTTACCAGCGAAACAAAATCGCGAAAACAACAAGAATCGCGTTTCCACGTACTCTCGATACTATTCCCGCTGATGTCAATGAATTCTGAGGCCTCTTCTTCAGAGTCTTCAGAGCCGGCGATGCCGACGGCGTATGATGACCCACATGTCCGTGTACAGTATTGTCCAACGAATAGGGCGAACGACTTCCGCTCTCTCCGATTTCCGGTTCCGACGCCGATCCCTCGTCCTCCTCCTCGTCCGAGAATATCGGTCGCGTCGCCGTTTGGGCCTTTTGCGGCATTGAAATTTCTGCAATTTTTAAACGTGCAAACAATATCATCTGCGCATGCGCCCTGTCCACTTACGCACTCCTTTCGTTTGATCCCATCAACAACCACGATAGAAATTCCTGTCCCTCAAAAGGGGGAAAAAAAGATTGAAGATTGAAAAAAGACGAACAAAGTGGAAAAAAGATGGAAGGAGAGGTGGCGCAAGATCCTAAGGGTACCTCCGAGTGAAATTAATTTTGCGATTTTACTTGGCCAGTATTTTATCACCGTGTCGGCACCACTCCGTATCTTGCATAGGGACCATTTATCCTGAGAAGTCTGCGTGAGAAGAGGTACGACGAGAAAGGAGAAACGAAGAGAAGTGAAGAAAAAAAAATATATAAATAATATAATAATAAAAGGGTCAAGATTAAAATAACTGCCGAAGGTATTCGTCGAATAACGGGGATAGCATAAAAAGGAAAAAAGAAAATCTGACCTCAATCTCGGACTAGACTCCGAACGGATGTAATAAGTTATTCAGCCAGTCCGATAATAAAGATACATTTAGCTCCAAGAGCTATTTCGTCGCTCGGTATACCCACCGTACAATCGAATACTGCTCTCGACCTCGCCCAAAGAATTTTTCGCAGCGCACCTATAAGAGCCGACATCCTGTTTCTGAAGATTGCGTATGGTCAGCGTCATCCTGACCTCGAAGGTCGAATTCGCCAGTGCCTGAACCTCGTGTCTCGAGCTGGAGATGATCATAGCTCCTTTCACAAAGCAATAACGAGTCTCTCATAACAATTTTCACAATCACAAAATAGTGTGTGTATATATATATATTAACATTAAACAGAGACACGAATCCATCTCACAACGGTTCTTCAGAGCCATAATTTGTAAACTATCTATTGTAAAATTGTATCTATTCGAATTTCCATAAATCCACAAGCTCACAGCCATCGACGGGTTCTTGGCTCAAAGGAACTTCACTGTTAGCTAACAAGAAGATGAACTCACCATTATCCTTGACCCAATAATTGATCGACTTGGGGAAGGCCTCCACGAAACATTCCAGAGCCACATCAGTTCCAAGGGGTGCTCCAACCAGTTGATTGGGTACGTGAATCACCGGGGGAACTGTAAACCGTTTTAGACTCTGTGATTTTTTAGAACGCTAGTAGTCGTTTTAGTATTAGTAGCCGTGATACTAGTGCCATCGGTGGTATCAGTAAGATTGCTAATACACCTTTTCTATTCCTATTAACAAGAATGCTACTCCTATACTATGATACAATCTGACGTCGATACACTCCCTCTCTCTCAGCCCCAGTTGAGATGCTGCAGTTACTACGGCTACCGCAGTAACGCACCAGATGCATTACTACTACCCTATTCTACCAATACGTCCCAACCCTGGATCGATTTCCTAGCGTACTACTCACTCCCAGGCAAACCATACTGCCACCAGACAGCTGTATAGACGAGTATACTGACACTCTAAGATTTATATGAAAATCAATAAAAATCATGCTTCCTTAATACCCATTGACAATATCATTTTCCTCTACGAAGTGTATTGTAGGGTAAAATAATTAAAACCCTCAAACGGTAATTGATATTGAATGATTCAAAGAGATATTAATGACACCGTGAACGAGCATACTCTATCTCGGTACACTGTTAATTAGTCGTAATTACTTACAGTGAACATTAACCGTGATACGTTTACTTATAGATGGCGGAACGCCATTGCTGGCGATGCACAAATAAGCTCCCATCTCGCCTCTTGTGATCTTAGTCAGTTTCAAGATTTCACCCTGAAACTGCGCCACGGAACTCACTGTAATGAAAAATCAATAACATCCGTGAGTAATCACATTGATTTCTATATCTGACGAGCAACAGGGCTTATGGTTGGTAATTTAACGCGAAGGAATGTCCATTCGAAAAAGTTCGCGAAAAATCCGTTAGAGGCGCTTGGCTCGCGGGAAGCGATACGCGTATGCGGTTCATTCATGATGGCTTTGTGAACGCGACGGTCGGACCGTGGGAGCAGAGGCCCCATTGTGTATCAATGTGCACGGCGATAGCTGTTACACATTACGGGCTGATGTACAAGAATGAATCTAACACGGAACCCTTGCCCAATGAATTAATTGAACGTCAATTAAGGGTCGAGAGTTTCGAGTACTAGAGATGAAAATTGCCACAAACTGACTTTACCCCGGTCCCCCATTACCAAATCCACACCCTTATCAAACACCCCGTACATTTAAACCAGACGACGTACCGTCCCACCCACTTAAATATATAGTTGGATATTCCAGAATACATTTATCAGCTTGGCGGTAAGACTATCCGTATATAATTCTTCCGAGTAATCTACGAGCTATCTAAGTTTATCAACGTTGTCAATGGACGCTGAAATATCGAATATTGCTTCTAATCGTGACCCCCATGAATCCGCAGGTCTTCACCGTGGATCGATTTGGCGCTCATCCACTTCCGTACTTCCATTCGCACATTTTTATCTGCTTTTCCTGCAATTTATATATGGGAATGTATATACGTGATTTTTTCTCCTTTAACGTACTTACCACGTGTTTTCTGGCCGAGAGTACTGGCGCCGAACGCCTCGCGAATTATAATTTCCCTTCCACCCTCTCGGCGCCACATGACGCGCGGCGTCGGTATGCCCTGAGCACGGCAAGTCAACTTTACCTGCAACACGCATAACTCATCTTATTTCTGGTTAGATCATTCTTCGCAGATTTACGAATAGCTTGGCATTTCTTCTTCCACGCTTCCTGTTCTCTCGTTTCTTACTTGCATTCTATTTTCTTTTTTCCTTTTTTTTTCTCTCTCACAACTCTCACGCTCTTCCCACTGGCTAACGTTTTATGTCTTGTGTATTGCTGTTTTACCACTGTCCCATTCGAATTGCTTTCTACAATTTTCATGTGTTCCTCGTCGTACCGTTACCCTGGACCACGTGGACGTAGAAGCAAGCATCTAGATTGGATTCGATGAGAATTAACTGATAATGAAACAAAATAAAATTGAGTAAATACCTTGCGAGTGCGTGTGCGTGCGTGTAAGACCAAAATAAATGTAATCAAAGAGACTCCGGAATAATTTCCAGCCATGACACCTATCCAACGTTGAAAATCAAATCCGTGAACAAAGAGGCGTCGTGACGTCGAGAACGTCCCTCCACGTGTTCCTTTCCATCTTCCTTCGACTACTAAACCCGTACTCCGAGTCGTACCGTGAGAACTAGAAGACGGTGGCGCAACTTCGAAAGCTAATTTCGAGAAACGCAGACAACGGTAAGCTTCCTTGCAAATGAACGTTAATCGAGTTTTGCCGGCTCTTCATTTTCAAACGTTTGTCGTTTCGTCTCTCGGCGCTAACTGGCTTTGCGTCTCGTCCTTGTCTCTTAGTTTCGCGCTCCTGACGTTTCGCGTTATAGAAGTTTCCTGCGATAAGAAACGGCTGGAACAAGTAGAAAGGGGATATCAACGAATTCGCAAGACGAGCCAGAATCAACGAGTCTTCGAGGAGTGACGAATTTCACGCGTTCTCCTAACAACATCAGTTACCCATTTACTCGCTCGTTACCTGAAAATCCCGAGAAGCTTAAATCAAGAATACTTACGAGACACCGTGTATACAATATTATCACGTGTCTCGGAAAAGATTCTCACCTGACCACCCTCGCTGATCATGACGTCCCTGGAGGTTTCCTCGTCGACAAATTCAGGTGGCACCTGAACCGAGAGTGTCCCCGTCTGCAAAACGAAACATTCAAGTGCCACGTTATACCGGGTGTTTGTATTGTACGTGGAATGAAGTTGCTAGCTTTAAAAATTTCCGGGAGAATCGCTCGCGAATAATCACGGCAACGTTTACCGTCGAGATTGCGCTAAAACGCAAAGTGCTCTACGCGGGGATTCTGCGAAATCTCCCGTGGGAGATACGTTCTCCGTTACACTCTGTGTAGCCATGGCGTACTGGCGATTGCAAGATGACAAAAAAAAAAATAAAGAAGAAATTATACATTATTCTCGCGAAAGAGATAAAAGCATTAACGTTCATGAAGAATATCAATAGCGCGGGGAACATCTGTAAAATAGTAGGCAACGAAAGGAAAGAACCAAAAAAAAAAAGAAATTGCGGTCACCTGCTAAAACGTATATACGTTCCTCAATTTCTGTAGCGACGAGAGAAAAGGATCAAAGAAAAATCTAGGGAAAAATAAAATCCCTAGATATTTCAAGATACATACAAGCGTCCCTGGATATTTTTTTTAAGGAAAAGGAAGGCCCGTACCCGGCTGGCTGGAGGCTCTGAAAATGAAACGGACGTAGAGGATGCGAATGTAAAAAAACCTGGAACACTAGTGTAAAAATACTATAAAGGTACAAGAATGGCGCAAGGATTTTCGTTAATTAACGACCACCGCGTATTTCACGTAATAAGCAGCTAAAAGTCGTGTCGACCAAATGCGACAGCGCTGCAGCAATGCAAACCGATGATCTCGGCCAGTTGATACCAGCCGTTTTACGTGGTTCTCATGTTTTTTTTTTTTTTTTTCCATATCGCCCTTAAATAAGTTACGTATCTTCGTAAGCCCCCCTTCTTCGTCAAGCGCAGTTTCACGTTCTCGCGCGATTTTCTCACATCTCCCGGATACCAATGGAAAAGCTTTTTCTACTTCGCGGTCGCAGACCGGGAAAATAAATAAAGCCGGATCCATAGGCGCAACCCAACGGGTACCCGTTGTTCTATATAGCTGGACATAAAAGTCAAAGAAAAAGATATCTGTTTCTTTCTCCGACAACTTTGATTTGGCTCTTCTCTCTCTCTCTCTCTCTCTCTCTCTCTCTCTCTCTCTCTCTTCTTCCTTTGATTCTCCTGGGACCTCGCAAGAGTTTCCTCTCATACCCGCGTCTTCCGTTTCCTTCTCGTCATCATAAATGGATGACGGCTTCTCGCGAGAATAGGTATGGACCAGGGTGGCTGGTACTTCATTCTGTATCTCTGTTGCTACTGGTATACGAGTCAGTCAAGTTTGCCCGTGAGCTATGGAGTTTATTTAGACGCAGGTGGTCGGCAGATGCGCCCAGGTACTTTTACTACTTCGCAAACGTTTTCAGTAACGAACGCGTTACTAGAAAGGCCAACGGGAAATACCCCACCGAATTGCGGTGAACCCGTGGAACTCGAGTGAAATTACTAATTGGGACCTGGCGCTACTATTCCCGAGCATCTGGGCTAATCGATAATTCGGGGTAAGGACGTTCATCCGCCGAGGAGGAACAGGTATTATTTTCATTCGTCGTAATCGACGTGCGCTCAACGATCGAGTGAACATTATCGAGCAGAGGTATGCCTTCGTGAAAGAGCATTGAGTATACGTATTTATAATTTTCAATCTACCTCATTATGTATTTTTAATACTGATAAACGACCGGCAAAAAGTTAATCCTCCAAGGAAAGTGCAAATCTTGTTTTGTACATTCAGACGAATATTCGTTACAGACATAACCTTAAGATTTGATCTTGCTAGCCGTTCGCTTTTTGGCAAATCTATGTTAAAAACAATTTTTTAAATATTCCAACCAACTCTCTCTGGACGCTGTGCTCGTTTAAAAATTATTCCTTAATCTAATTGTTCATTCGTGTATTCGATATACAAGACTGGCGACTCCTGCAACGTCCTTGACGGTTCCTCTTCGTAGTCTCCAGGAACGTCGGTCCAGATCGAATCCGAGCGAGCGCAACAAGATCACAGTGTAATTCCGCAGACTGAAATCCATGAAAGATTATTTATACAGAACGGCAGAGTACGTACGTTGCTTGATAGAATCCTCAAAAGAATTTTCACTTGCTAATGCCGTCTCTTTTATTCAAGATTAACAATCAGCACTGATGGAAGATCTTCGACGCTCCTTCAACGGCATCCTGGAGTCTGTACCAAAGTCTGTTCCCAGCGGACAACCTTTAATTAACGCAGAGAACTCAGCCAGCCGGCACCTGGACCAGTTCGCTATCTCTTGAGAATATCGGTGACTGAAGGTGGGATTGTACCGCTGACGTCAACGGTCCAGAGACTGAAGTCGCGGGACCGTCATATTTTAAAGGACACGGTCGATCAGATGAAAGGCAGGACTGAGGAAAGGTTCAAATTAAGAGATGGACAATGGGTCCTTTCAATAGGAAAAACCGGACAATACCCTGGACTTACAGCCAGTGTCCAGTGAAATGGAGTCCTGGCTGGCTTACGGGCGCCCCGAGGCTTCTTTAAATAAGTATTAGAGAATTAACGTACCTGGCTTTTCATTGGATCCGTGTTAATCTGACACATGTAAACTCCGGCGTCCTCCAGCTGAACGCCCCTGATGTGTAAGCTCCAGGTCGAATGGTCACCGTGGGACACGGAAACGCGTGGATTATGCGTTATAACGTGATCGTGGATGGCCTGAATGGCTTTGGTGTCAGCCTTAACCCAACCGACCTGAAAACAGATTTTTTTACTCACTAAAATTTACTCCCAAAGTCGCCCCGGCGACATCCCCAGGGTACAAGGAGCACGAGATAGGGCGCACGGCGTCAAAGAAACCCTATATTTTATAGTCTGAGAAAATTTCAGGAAAAATATCATTTTTCTTTGTTTTTTCATATCTCTCTCTCTCTCTCTCTCTCTCTCTCTCTCTCTCTCTCTCTCTCAACATTTTTACTTCCACGCCTTCTTTTATATTTGAACCCCTACCCCCCCCCCTCGCCCAAAATCACTTCTTCCTTTCATCTCCCATGTACACCCTAATATCCTTTGCCTCCTCGCCTAAGTGTCCCACGGGCTGCTTCCACGTGCCCCATACAATATTCACACGGTGTACAGGTCTCAGTATATCCGGACGGTTTTCGGTAAGATGCAATAGCTAGCTACCTATCTAGCTACGCGAATATGTCTATACGCGTATACCAACGTGGGATAGGGTACATGGAATATTTCGCGGTGAAAATGCAAATGGCCACGAAGTTTCGGTCGGGCATGTCGGGTGGTGGAGAAATAAAAGAAAGAAAGAAGGAAAGAAAGAAAAAAACAAGGGCGTCGCCACGTACGACTGGCGAGACGCTCACGTCGGATATTGCGAGGTACGCGACGAATACGCATCTTTGCGATTTCCCGAAGGTATATGTATACATATAGCAGTATACACATAATATGACACTTCTGGAATGTTCTCGTAGCTACCTTCAAGCGCGCCATGCACCCCGTTCACCCTCTGCCGAAAGGAGCCTATCTGCAT